AAAAACTCCTCTATAGTAAAATCACTATTTACGTCTCCCGGTGCCGTGCCGGTTTTGCCGTAAAACTTCGACGAGCCATAACTTCTTCGTTATAACTCAGATTTTGGCGTTCTTTATATGTACGGAACCCTTGTAACATATACTACCACTTGGTTAAGATTATTCCTTCTAAATAATATTCCATCAAAAACTCATTTTTGATGGTCATTGTCTCTAAATTGACTAGCCCGAATCTGCGGGCGTTACAGAGACCTTGGAGTAGTACCAGCTATAAAGGAGCCTACGGAAATTTTCTGTGATAGTGAAAGTGCAGTTGTCTTAGCCAAGGAACCAAGGGATCACGGGAGATCCAGACACATCGACAGAAAATACCATTTCCTCAGACATCGAATAGAAGAAGGACTCCTCGTGGCAAAGAGGGTATCATCGGATGAGAACCCGGCAGATCCCCTCACGAAGGGACTGAGCAGGGTTAAGCATCTCCAGCATGTGAGGCGCATAGGGCTGAAGGATGATATTAGTTTTAGTAGTTAGATAGCTTTGAAATGTGTAAAGTGTAATTGACATTTGATGATGAATAAAAGTTGTGTTTATTTATGAGTAAGTGTTGCTATCTTTTGTCAATCGTTTACTATCGTTTCATTTTTCATATTTTGACTTCCAGAATAATTATGTTATGGTATATCATATTATTCAAATTATCCACAGTCGGTCATATGTTGGAAGGAGATATGAATCAAGACTGTCATGAGTTGGCTTGTAGATGTCTAAGATTTTGGACATAGCAAAGTGTTGCTACAACACTCATGACAGCTCATAAGTTCTGAGTATTGGATTCAACCCACGCTCGCTGGTATCACTTCATGGAATTTATCTCGAGTGATCGTGAGACGGTAATATCATATAAGTCTTCAAACCTAGAGATATGACTTGTTGCCTATGAGTTGGTTATACATTGATTGTACAAAAACGCATTGGTAACCCGATGTTATAAAATGTGCCTTTGTGTATGATTCAACAAGTAGTAGAACAAGCATATGAGTCGAAGTTTATCTGTTCCTTCTTGGATTAGAAGCGATATATGGGCCCCTCGATGATTTTGTGTTGACCCATGTACCGGGCCCGGTCAGAACTAAATTGATGTGTTCGATTAAGTTCTTTGTCAAACAAATCGGAAATCGGGAAACAAACTGCTGGACAATAAGTAAGACATTGTTCCATGTATTTGTCCGGCTGATATCTAGAACAGAGGATTATATGATCACTAATCTTAAATGGCGCATCATCATCATCTCAGTTCCGAGAGACCTTGAAAGAGCTACAATTGCTGATCGGTTCCTGAAGTCATACTTGCAGTTATAGTTATTAGACTTATCCAAGTGGGAGACTGTTGGATAAGATGTCTAAGTCCATAACTATTTCTAGTATGTACTTGACCCGGTTTGGCATGGTCCATTTGAGTTGCATGGCATCATGCATTTGGATAGACTAAAATGAGAGAAATAACATTTATGGTTTATTAATATATTATAAGTTCTAATATATTAATAATATTATTTAATTAATATTGATCAAGAATTAATTTGGAATTAATTAAGTGATCAAAAAGAGACTAATTAAATATATGGGTTGATTGTGTAAATCATCCATACCTGTAGGGCTAATGCTCCAAGGATTATCAAGTTGGGCTAAAACCCATAGGATGATCCATGGTGTTTTTGAACCCATGGATCCAAGAAATGAAAAGCCATGACAATTAGGGTTTACATGGTGTAACCCTAATTGTAACACACTATATAAGCATCACTTTGTTCACCAAAATCGGCCACTAAGTAAGAATTGTGAGGGCTAGCCGATTTTTAAGTGTTCTTCATTTCTCTCTAAGTTATTCCAAGTGCATTTGGTGTTGTGTGAGACATTTGAGGCATCACACTTGAGGTGCTAGGCTCACAAGGTTCTCAAGGAATCCAAAACTACTACAAGGTATGTTTTCTTACTTACTTTTATGTTTAAAATTTCCCCATGTATGCTAGATAGGTTATGAACCTTGAAAAAACAATTTTGCATGTATCATAGTAAAACATAGATCCAAGGTTTTTAGGGTTACATGTACATCATAGGAGTGTTAGAATGCTGAAAACCCTTCAGTTCATCCTATTGTAAATCTATTATTGTGTTGAATAAGAGAGATTTCCAATCTCAACAGAGTATCTATACATCTGCCTTGGTAAGAATTAACCCATATGTTTAGAAACGTAGAAACCCGAGTTTATGTCTTAATGGACTAGTCACCCCTAAAATTGACATTTTAATTGTGGTAACAAGCTTGATTGATAATGGTATGCAACTATCTTTTAAGTAATATAATTGCATACTGTTCATTAATTTATAGTCTTTTATTACAAAAATCTAAAAATTTATATACTTTAGAACCAAAATATACAAAATTCCAAAACGGAAATTACATATTCAAAAACTAAAATATATAAAATTCTCCAACTATCGAAGTCAAACATTCACATATATTAAAGTTTCAAGGTTATAAGGTTGGTAGGTTGTTTCTTCCTGTCATGTTTCAAATGCATTTCGTTAAACATTTTCTCAATCTCTTATTGTTTGACCTCAATTTATGCCCATTTTGGTATCAGTTCTTGTTGTTTGCCATCAATATTCTATTAGCGTCGTGCCTTAAAGCGAGGTGGTTGAGTTGGTATATTGTTTTTTAAAAACCACTATATGTATTTTCGTTATGATATCATATTGTAGTTGTCAACCTTTGCATTAAAGGTGGAAGAATGAAATGAAGCTAAACTCATCGAAAGGGAAGTTGCACTTAGACGTAATAATAAAATTTCAAATGTCTTAAAATCAATTTCATTTATTAAGGACAAGTATATTATTTTATCAAGTTGACAAACATTTGGAGTTGTTTTCGGTTCATGAAAAGAATCATTTGAAGTGATAACTAATCGTCCTTGTTCTAATGATTTGAACTTTTAGCATCTATATTGTTTTTTGAACTATATGTGCCTATCATTTTTTCTTTGTTCTGACTTTTCAGTGTCTATTAATTACTATGAATCTATTTAGTTTTCTTTAAATAAAAATATATGTTATAAAGTTTTGATGTATTTGTATTCATCTAAAGCTATATTTTATTTTGGTATTATATTTTATTTTTCTTTTTGACGTATGTGATTGATGTAAAACACTAAAACTTATGGTTATGTGTTATTTTAATGTATTTGGATTGATCTACAACTTATATTTACGTGTATTTTTAATGTTTGAACTTGTAAATGTCAAATTTATGATTTATATATGTATGTATGTGTAGGAAAATAGGAAAAAATATGAAAATTATAGAAAACGGTTGACCTCTACGGTCGAATCGGTTAAACCGGTTGAATCGGGAATCGATTACCATACCGTTTCAACTAAAAAACTGATTTTTAAAACATTGGGAGGGAAAGAAATGGAAGAGAATTGAGGTGGAAATAACTTTCCTTCTATTCCCTCAAACTCAATGACTCATCCGCCAAAATTTGGTTTAACCCATTTCCGATTTTACCCTTCGTCGGCAAATAGAAAAATCCTTTTCTGCGATTCCTTCATCTTCCATCTCCGCATGCATCGACTTTGCAGGTATCAGCATCGATTCTTCAATGTCTCATCTTCTCGAACCATCTCAGGTACTAGTCATCTATTCTGGAAAATCCCTTTTCCTATTCTTCTAATCTCGATCACGCTCTTGTTGCATATCGAAGAAATAACTTGTTATTCCTCTTTCCAGGGTTCTAATTTCCAAAAAAAAAACCCTAATTTTCATTCTGGCATCTATCGACATCTCCGTATCTCTGGACCTTTGCGTTTATTTGATTTTTTTCATGTGAAGTCCATAAATCGGTAGTAAATTGTCTTGGGTAATTTGGTTTTTTTCTTTCTAAATATTCATGTAGGTTTTGTTCAACCAACCGGAGTGAAGTTTAGGGCTTTCACTATCCATTGAACTCTATGGAGTTCAATGGATTGCTACATCACTGTCACATCAACATTTCACTTTTTATTTAACTATACGCTTTAATATTCATACTCCATTAAACTCTACAAAGTTTAATGTATTTCTATATTTGGTTTGAAATTTAATTGAAAAAAAAAAAGATTAAATTCATTGAACCACGATCATACAACCCTCTCATTCAACTCTCATCCATGTCATCACTCACACTCTATTAAACTTCTATTCAATCTTAGTCATCATCTATTCAACTCTCATTAAACCCCCACTATGGATGCTCTTAGTAAATTTGCAAGCTTCAGCAATTTATCTATGAATAGGTTTTGATTCGCCAAGATTGATGACGAATCGTCCAGCATAACTAAATAGGGGTGCTAGAACTTGGCAATTCCTTATCCTTATTAAATTCAACCCATATAAAGGAAACTCTATAACTTGCAAGCTTTATGTTGTTGCTATGGAGTATGGAGTAAAAATGAGGCCTTTTGCTGTCGAATAAACCGAAGTACTATTAGACAGAAATAGGGGCCTAGTTACAATTACTGTGGATCAATACATAGGTCAAATTGTGGACAAAAGAGAGCTGAAACAATATGGAACTCTTTATTTCTTGAAAGCTAAAAACGTACAGCAACAATGAAAGGGAAAATGGGTACACTACTACAACTTCTTTACTACATTACTAAGACATCAAACAAAAGCCATACCCTTACATCATGATATAGATGATAACCCATAGGAGAAACTCAAAGATGGCATGCATAAAGCAAAAAATAACGTTGCTGACTTTTTCAGTAAGTTTAAATCATCACAAAATAATGCATATTCCTTTAATTGAAAAAAAAAATACAATCATGATCCTTCAATACAATATCAGGATTTTTGATACATCAAATGTAGAAAAAATGATACCTAGGTGACCAAATGTCAATAGGAGGTATAATTATTTGACCAAAACAAACCAATGAAATAAAGTGCCTTTTTAGGAGGAAAGAAACGCAACAATGGGGCTCGTAACCTTGTGAACTCCATCACTCCAAACCAACGAACCCGAAAATGACTTTGACCCAATTGTGGCGCCAACTGTGACCACAAAAGATTGCGTCTCCCCCACTGATTTGAACGATAGACTGATCGGGTCAACCTTGACCGAAAGCCCTGATGGTGCAATCATACTAGCCTGGTACGTCGATTCTGCTGCACCAACGTTAGTAACCGTCCTGTTAAAGGTCCGGACGATGCTGCCTGATTGTGGAGCCGAGAGAGCGAAAGAAGGGTAGTTCAGGTCCCACACGGTTGCGTTACTGGCCGCCGAGCAAGCACTAGCGTCGCCGGTGACAATTTTCAAAGTTGTGGCGTTGTAACCCTGCCCACATAAAAATGAAACGAAATCTGATTCTCCGGCGTCATACACCAAACCTGGGTCGGTGGCCTTTAATGGGTCGATATGTCCAGAACCATATGCAAATTCAGCGTCTAGGTTTTTGATTGGACTCATCGTTGCAGCTGCCACAAAAATTAAAATCGTTCATCGATCTTCGTTTAATTTCATGAATGTCATAAAGTTTTTAGGGTTTTAGGTTTTATATAATGTATAATCATACCTGTAGTCATAAGGGCCGACTTTATCGCAGCAGGAGACCAAGTGGGGTGGAAGGATTTAACATAAGCAGCAGCACCAGAGGCGTGAGGGCAAGACATGGAAGTTCCGGAGATGATACTGTAAGGGACAACACGGGTGTCACCTTCTTCTCCGGTCACAGTTGTACCCATTGACCATGCGGCTAAAATGTTCACCCCAGGTGCGGTTAAATCCGGCTACAAAAAGGTTAATTATAAAATGTCTGTCCGGGGAAATCATATATTTATTTCCTTTTGAATAATATATATATATATATATATATATATATATATATATATATATATATATATATATATATATATATATATATATATATATATATATATATATATATATACTACGTACCTTGAGAAGGTCTAGAGTGATTAGGTTGGGGCCTCTTGATGAGAAGGAAACCACAGTTGGAGCTGCTTTGTCCACAGGTTCATAGGACTTGAGGATACTTGCACTTGGTGTCCTACCAAACACAATAACAAAAAAAAAAAAAAAAGGTTCAAAATGCATCCTACGAACGCTTGTAATTAATTAATATGTGCATTGACAAATGTAAGCAATATAATATAATGTTAATTAGCTAGAGTACTTACGTGGTGGAGTTTAAGTAACTTAGAACTGAATTGCCATCTTTGCCGCTCAAATATGTGGTTGGTAAAACGAAAGAGAAGGCTAGATCTTCGTAGCCGAAATCACCTTCAATCACCACACCGCTTGCACCTGATAACAACGCATTCTCTGGTCCATCAAAATCCTCACAAACCACAATCTTGTCCTTCACCAAAGTTGGGTCCAAGGAATCTTCTTCGCAGTATCTGCATTTCATATATACGTTGTTCGTGAATATTATTCTAGATTATATATATATATATATATATATATATATATATATATATATATATATATATATATATATATATCGTCACTTGGTTTTGTAATTGATCGAAAATTAGATTTTCTTATTACCTAGAATCGTCTGATGTAAATCCCTTTTTGGTATTCGGCACTGATCCTCCATAAACTATTGGATGAATTGCACCATCGAATGTGTTTACAGTTGGCCCCTACACAACAACATTTAGCTAGTTAGAATCATATGTATCAACAGTATAAAAGTGAAAAACAAGTTGAATTGTCACCTCAAAAGTTGCATTGTTACCCAACACAATCTGAGTTAAGAACTTCCGATCAATGCTGCTAGCGGCAACAGACAACGACCATGGTGAAAGATTAGTAATTGATCCAGCTCCCGGACCGTCGTTTCCAGCGGAATTGGAAGTAAGAATTCCATTCTTCATGGAATGAAAAGCTCCAATGGCGATGGGATCCTCAAAATATTGTAAAGGGAAAGAGCCTCCAACGGAAAGAGAAATGATATCAACTCCATCAGCAATCGCATCATCAAAAGCCGCCAAGATATCGGCATCTGAACAACCACCCGTCCAACAGATCTTGTAAACAGCTATACGCGCTGATGGAACACCGCCTCTAGCCGTCCCTTTGCCTAGACCTAACATGCTCGCATTGTTCACTGCACGTCCTGCCACAGTGGATGCAGTATGTGTGCCATGGCCCTCGGTGTCTCTTGCTGACAGCTCTTCATCTCCAGATGCACTCCCGTCGGTGTTGTAGTATTTTGCTCCGATGAGTTTGCTGACATTAATTAATGTTAATTAATAACGTCACAATCATTAATTAACTAGAAGCATATAAATATAAATTAGTGAAATTATTAATTACTTGTTGCAGGTGAAATTTTTTGAAGCGCATGAGCCCTTCCATTTGGCTGGGGGAACACCAAATCCGTCGTCCTTGAAACTGTCTGACTCCGGCCATGCACCGGTGTCTAGCATACCTACGATGACGTCGCTTTCAAGAGGTGCCCTTTTGACATCTTGAGGGAAGCCCATGAAGTCCCATGATCTGGTCGTGTGAAGTTTCTTGTTTTGGCTTGGGAACACAGATACCACTCCATCCATTTCTGCATGCAAAAGAATGTACGGCTATTATAAATAATCATAGTTTTTATGTAATTAGGGAGATGCCATGTACATGTATTAATCTAATAATTTAATTGGTCAATAAAATCCACTCACGAGCTAATTGGTTTTTTTCATCTTCGGTTAGCTTGGCAACGAAGCCATTAAAGCTCCTTTTGTAGCTATGGAGTAACGATTTTGATGCCCGGCTGCAGGAAAACCATCAAGACATAAGTAACAATTAATCCAAATTAATTAAAAATATTTACAAGAAATGAATAACGTCTTTAAAGCTCAATGTCGCCGATAGAAGGAGCCTTAAAACCATCACATATACTAAAAATTAAAATAATCAACCTGCCAATAACTTGTTGTAGCATGTTTGAATGGACCTCTGCCACAGAGAAATCAGTCTTAGTCTTAGGAAGGTCACCCATGTACACAATGTAGGTCTGCAACAACATATAAAACAATTATTTATGCTGAAAGTTTTCGAAATATGCATGCATAAAATGATATAAACTATATAAAACTAGATAATGAATTGATTGTTTAAACTGTGTTTTTAAACAAAAGAAATGCCTTGAGATCATTGGAATCAGCTGCTTGAGTGTAGCTAAAGATGAGAGAATATGTGATAGTGAGTAAGAAGAGCAGCCATAATGGAGACGCCATTGACATTGACTTGATTGATTTGAAGATGATTATGCAGATAATAACTAATTAGAGTGGTTTGTATGTATATATAGCGAACTCGACCTCATTGGTTTCTCAAAAATAATTTAATGTTGTTAAAATCGTCGGACGTTGTACAAATGCCGGCTTCAGGCGAGGTAGACAATGTTAAATTTAGAATATGCACGTTATCATCCGTTTGTCTTTGGATTTAAATTGTTATATATAATTTAAGAATTTTTTTTTTTTTTTAATTTAGATGAAATACATCTTCACCTTCCAACCAAAACTCTAAAAAAATCATGACCGTCACCATCCTTGCAAATATTTTTACTGAATTTTTCTAAAATCATTAATTTATCCAACTTAAATATTAGAGCTGGGTATCTATAGCAAACCAGGCCATACTACAGAAAATACTAACACCAACTAAAAATTAATCAAAAATATATATAATTAATTATATGTATTTTATCTATCATTCGCAATAACAAATCTTCAAAAAAGAAAATCATTTATACCCTAGCTCTGCTTTTTCCAATTAAGTTATCCCAGTGGTGATATATCATCGATTAATTAAATATTGGAATTGGAAAATATTCCCGTTAACTCAAAGTTTGGGAAACTTATCGAACCCTACTCCCATGGCTATTTGGTTCCTAATCTTTTTTTGGAAACGGCAAATATATATATTAATAGCGTCACACGATTAGCAAGTGACTAAATCGAGGGCAATATAAAAAAACAACAGGTACATGAAATAAAATAGATCAAAGTTTTAACAAAATGGTGAAATGCTCCGATCTATCCATCTACCCTTCACCTTCGATGTTCTAAATTTGAACCAGGAGAACGATTAAGATATCACCTCGTCTGCTATCTTAGTTGGACTTGTATTTATCGCCTTGAACAATCTATTATTTCTGGCCACCCAGATATACCATAATAGACCATAAAATACTGCATTGATCCTCTCCTTTTGCTTTGGACAATTACTCCATGTAGAAGCAAAGTTAATAAACTCCTTGACATTATCAAAATTAGTATCGGGTATACCACACTATCTTAAAATCCAATCTCGAGTTTCTGATGCCACACGACAATTAATCAGTAAATGATCGCATGTTTCTTGCTCACTAGTACACAAGGGGCATAAAGTTGATTGTATTTTCACCCCTTTTCTTACAAGATTTAATGCCACTGGGAGTCTATCTAACACTGCTCACCATGTAAAGCAACGTATTTTGAGTGGAACTACCTTAGACCAATTGATTTTTATTCCCGTAAAAGGGGTAGGGACAGAATCAATCTTTTGATGTAGAATGTGTACCTTGTACTCTCCATTTTTGCTTAACTTGAATCTAAAACCATTTTGTACAGGTTGTGTGTTAACCCCTTGCAGCATAGAGCATAAGTTCTCCAAATCTTCTAGAATACCCTCCCCCCCCCCCTTTGATTTGAGACCTCCATCTCCAGTGTAATCCTGAGTTGGTAATTCTGTCAGAGACCAGACAAAATTTCCTAGTTTCCAACTCAAAGAGGTGTGGAAATCGTTCTTGCAGAGTTAGAGAGTCGAACCAACGATCTTTCCAGAAGAGTATTGCTATATTTGATCCGGGAACCAATGAAAAGAGCTCATGGTAATTGATATCAAATTCCGGAAGAGATTTAATAGCCTTGGCTATGTTATTCCAAACCCCACCCATTGAGATTTTTGCAATTGCAATGATAGGTTTTTTATTAAGATTGTGAATACTATTTATGCATTCTTTCCATAGTCCTCCACATCTTTCTTTGAGTTTCCACCACCACTTAGTGAGCAATGCTAGGTTTTGAGCTTTCAACGTCCCAACACCTAGTCCGCCATCTTTTTTGGAAGCAATGATTTTTGACCAAGATACCCAATGAATCTTGGATTCAGAGTCTTCCCCCCCCCCCCCCCATAAGAATCTCCTCCTCATCTTTTCAAGTTCCCTAATGATTCCATTCGGAGCCTTGAATAGAGAGAAATAATATGTGGTAAACTATCGAGTACTGATTTTATTAAAATGAGTCTACCCCCGAAAGATAGCGTTTTTGCCCTCCATATAGATAACTGAGATTGAAACTTCTCAATTACTGGCCTCCAAATTTTCTTCAGCAACATATTTGCACCAACAGGGACTCCAAGATACATGAAAGGGAATGTGCTTTTGAGACATCCAAGCACATTCGACTGATATTGAAGATCCAAATCAGTGATACCAATGCCAAAAAGGCGCGACTTATGAAAATTGACCTTCAAACCGGAGCAGATATGGAAACATTTGAGTATTCTTGCTAAGTTTTTGATGCTCACAGTGTTCCATTTACCTATGAAGATCGTGTCATCTGCATAGAATAAATGCGATACGATAGGGCCACCATATGGTAAAGGAAGACCTTATATGAGGGATTTCTTTATTGCAGTTTTGATGGTTGCATTCAGACCTTCCATTGCCATGATAAACAGAAAAGGCGAGAGCGGGTCTCCTTGCCTTACTCCTTTAGTTATGGGAAACTCATCTGAGGGAGATCCGTTGATGAGTACAGAGGCTCTTGAAGATGATAAACATCCACGAATCCACCACCGCCATTTGGGACTGAATCCCATTTGTTCCATGATTGAATCAAGGTATCCCCAGTTTATTGAATCAAACGCCTTCTCAAAGTCCACTTTTAATAAGAAAATATTTTCTTTTGTTTTTTTGGCCCATGAACATACCTCATTTACTATTAGTGGACCTTCCAGGATGTGTCTTCCTTCTATGTAAGCTGATTTAACTTCATCGACCACCGAGCTGATTACCTGTTTAAGTCTTACTACAAGGATTTTGGCAATGATCTTATACATACATCCTATCAAGCTGATAGGTCTATAATCTCCCAGACTCAACGGATCCTTGACTTTGGGTATAAGGGTTATAAAGGAAGAGTTACAACCTTTGGCAAACTGCCCATGAGCCTCAAAATGTGACACAAAACGAATAACATCATGCTTGATTAGTTCCCACTTGTGTTTTAGAATTTTGAATGTGTAACCGTCATGGCGAGGAGATTTGTCACCACCACAACTCCAAACTGCTTGTTTTATTTCTTCAGGAGAGATGGGTGAAGTCAGAAATTATCTTTGATCATCCGAAAGAGTTTTAAATTCTTCACTGACCAATTTAGGTCTTACATGCCATTTTTCGTGGAATTTGTCACTAAAGAGTTTATGTACAGCCTGTTTAATCTCTGCAGGTTCGGTGCTCCATTCCCCATTGATCGACAGACCATGCATTCTATTTTTCCTGTTTTTACTTTTAATAGCATTGTGAAAGAAGCGAGTATTTTCATCACCTTCTGTTAACCACCGAATTTTTGCTTTTTGCTGAATGTCCTATTTCACAAAATACTCCAGTTCACTAATTTTTCCTTTGGATACTCTTCTTTCATTCAATTCAGTCTTGGTTAATGGTTTTGATTCCGCAAGCTCTTCAATATCCTCCACCCCTTTCTTTAGTTGAGCTAATAATTTAGATTCCTTGGATGCATCTGAACCTCTCCATTTACCAATTTCTTTTCTCACAAACCGGAGTCTGGCCTTCAAGAACATATCAGGGGTACCGAATCCTTTGAAGGAGAGCCAAGTGTTCGTGAAAGTCGTATCAAAGTCTTCCCTGTGAATCCAAGAATTGAAGAATCGAAAGGGGGGTGGTCCGAAATCTTTGTTTGAAGGTTTGAGGACCAGGGGGAATGATCCGAGTGTTCACGAGGTAAAGCAATAACATAAGTGAGGGGCTGATGCGCAATGAAATTCGAACATACCAAGTATCGATCCAGCTTGCTGAGTTTTATCCCGTCATCACACATTCCTAATCCTAACATATATATGTCATATTCAGTCACTGTCGAGCAAACGTAATATTCAAGATCAAGACCTAAAGTATCCATTTTTTATGGAAAATGATACTTATTTTTAATGTTCAACTTTATTAATGTAATTCATCTTTTTCTTTTTTCTAAATTTGATTTATCTTTAGGTCTTAGGCCATAGGTTATGACATCTCTCTCTCTCTCTCTCTCTCTCTCTCTCTCTCTCTCTCTCTCTCTCTCTCTCTCTCTCTCTCTCTCTCTCTCTCTCTCTCTCTCTCTCTCTCTCTCTCTCTCTCTCTCTCATTTTTTAAAGTAACAATCAAAAATTATATCTATTTTTAACTATTTATCAATCTATAAATACCAACCAATTTTAATCTTCATCTCACACCATCTTCTCTCTTTTTTATTCATCTTTACAACAAAAAGGATTCCAACAATCTCATCCAAAAAATCGGTCGAAGAAAATATACTGCTTCTAGTTAGTTCAACCATGTCAATTAGAAATATTTTCCCTTTCAATTTGTCGATTCCGGTTTATGGTTCACAACTTGATACCCCTGTTGACCCCTTACATTTTGAATATCAAAATGTTCAACAATACTACCACATGGATATATATCAATTATTACATAAATATGATCAACAACTTCATGACTTTTCCATCATGTTCTGCCAACAGTGCACCCCATCTTGTGCCACAAAATTACAAAATTAGTCCACATTTTTGGGTTGTGATCTATTTTTTTGTACATATATTTTGACACATTTTTTTATTTTGATGTTTTATAACAACAATATCGTATATTATAATTATTATTTCGGTCGTATTTAGTATATCAAAATTAAAGTTTTCATACTACACTTTTTTATTTTCTCATTAGTT